AAGTGGTGCTTCACTTGGTTTTTTTATTATTATTATTATAGTTCATCACACAGTCAAATTATGATTTATCGTTCGTTGTTTTTGCAAGTACACTAAGTGCTTCTGTACCAGAGACAAATTCCTTAGGGTTAGGGTTAGGGTCACATATAAGTATAAATAAAGTATTCTGCTCTGCTCTGCTCTGTTCTATTGTTCTGTTCTGTTCTGATCATACAGAATAACATAATTGAAAAGGACATTGAAGGTCATCTAGTCCAACTCTCTGCTCAAGCAGGAAACCCTATACCATTTTAGACAAATGGCTGTCCAGTCTCTTCTTAAAAGCCTCCAGTGTTGGAGCACCCACAAATTCTGAAGGCAAGCTGTTACACTGGTTGATTGTTCTTACTGTCAGGAATTTTCTCCTTAGTTCTAGGTTGCTTCTCTCTTTGTTCAGTTTCCGTCCATTGCTTCTTGTCCTGCCTTCTGGTACTTTGGAAAATAGGTTGACCCCCTCTTCTTTGTAGCAGCCCCTCAAATACTGGAACACTGCTATCATGTCACCTCTAGTCCTTCTTTTCATTAGACTAGACATACCCAATTCCTGAAAACATTCTTCATATGTTTTAGCCTCTAGTCCCCTAATCATCTTTGTTGCTTCTTCTCTGCATTTTTGCTAGAGTGTCAACATCTTTTTTATATTGTAGTTACCAAAATTGGATGCAGTGTGTTTCAAGTGTGGTTTTACCAAGGCATTATAAAGCAGTAGTATCACTTCTTAATATCTTGATTCTACCCCTGTTTTAATGCAGCCTAGGACTGCATTAGCTTTTTTGGCAACTGCAACACACTACTGACTCACACTTTTGAGTCTATTGAGATCCATCTGAATCTTGTGCCTTGGCTATCCCTGCGGTTGTTGTATTCTGTTCTAAATATCCTGATTTTGTACTCAACTCACATTTTGAACATTAGGTCAAGCTCTTGATTTCCAATTAAATTATTTTATTTTAGAATGAAGAGCATTAGCAGAGCAGAAGGCAAGTTGCTAAAGGGGCCAGGAATAATTTGGCTGTGGAAAAACACCATTTGGTATCAGTGGTGTCCCTTGTTTCTAGTTTAGCAACAAACAAAGGTTAGTTTCATACAATTGTTAAATATTTAATCCTCCCCCGTGGGTTGCAAGGAAAAACTGGTTGGGAAAGCTATTGCCACCAAATTCCAAACTGGCTTGGCAATAGAAGTGAAGGAACACTTAGTGATGTTTCAAATTCACTAAGAACATCAATAGAGTTCAATCCTTCAGCCCAGCTTTAGAAGGCTGTATTCCTGAAGTATAAAAGCCATGTGATTTGATTGTCAATCGGAGAATTTGTACATCTCATTGTGGTAACTGTCCCCCCTCTCCCAAAATGGTATGTTTTATCTGTGAATTACTGATAGGCCAAGTCAACAGAATATAGAAGTAAAACTTTGGGCAAAAGGTCAAACCAGAGCCCAATCATAAACTAGAAATTGTAAAAATCAGGCAGGCCAGAGTTTCTAGTGTGTGGAAAAACAGGTACACAAATTGCACAAAAATGTTTAAAATCATTGAAAACAAGTTGTGAGGGAGTTCTTAAAAAGGTCACACCTGGTGCTCTTCTGTAATTGGAATTGGTTCTTTTGAGAAAAGTGTTTGCTTTGCTTTCTTTTCTGAAGTACAAAGGTAGGTTTCTGGCTACGTTACTTAGAATTTGAAGTTTCACCAAGCCCTGAATAAGTTCAGAGTCCAGTTTGCAAATGGCTCATTGAGAGTTAGTTCAAAGCTCATGCTCAGATTCAACAGTTCTGACTAAAATACTGAAAGCGTTGTCTTTCTGAGGCAGCTAAAGATTCCTAAACAACTGATTCATATGAAAATATTTGAATCATGATGTCATAATATGGACTGAGTGACTATAAATATTTACATGGTGATATCTGGACTGATGCAGCAGTTTTTGAAAAGTAACGATGTGGAACAATGAATATTGGTTACTTTCCCTGCTGTTAGTGCAATTGTCTACAGAGGTGTCTTCCAAAAGACAAATGGGAAAGGGTAAGATAAAATCCAGTGGGAAAGTTAATGACATTGCTGAAAGCTATGAAAGAATTTGCCTACAATCTTTTGATCATTTGTCAAATTGTCTTTTCCCTGAAATAATGGCCCCAAAGGTTTTTCATACTTTGTCAACATGACATCTCAACCCAGTCCAATAATCATGAGGGTCCAGAGATTTCATGCAGATCTTAGAGGTTAAATGTACAGGGAACCTGTACAGCTGACAGCCTTAGACAATCTGCATTAAGTTTGCATGGAGTCAGAACATGTTCTTCATTATCATGTGAGGAAACTATGACATAAGCCAAATCTGTACCCTGTGGCTTTTTAACTTACGGGAATATTTTTTCTTCATTTTCTGTGACTGTTGACAGTTCTTGATTGCGCAATTAGGAATTGGGCGAAAAAAGCGAATTTGAGACCGGGTAGACTTCTGTTTGCTCAGGCCAGTTGAGGAATCACACTTCTTCCGCTAATGGACCTTTGTGTAAGGAGCTGACATTAGAAAATACTATTTCTGGCCATGTTCAGGATATGAATCATGTCCTTTATCCAGTCATCATTTCCCTTATGACATTTGTTCCACAATGTAATTAAGACATTGTGATTTGGAGATGAGTTCCTTCTTTTTTTAAAAAAAACAAAAAAACCCTTCTATTCTGCAAAGCACATTTAATCCTGAGCTTTGGGTAGACGTTCCTTCTTTCAGAGATGAGCTTTTTTGAAAGTGGCAATGTTGTCCAGAACCAAATGCTTTTCCAGCAGATATTTAAAGCCACACTAGATGTATTGGATATTAAACATGTTGCTTGCCCTAGAACTTCTCCCTTTGAAGGGCAATTCGCTTAAAGGTTCAGATTGTTGAGGTGTAAGGGGTAAGATAGATCTTGTCAAGATTTAGAAGAATAGGTCATCCACAGGTGTTTTCAGGCTTTTTGTTAAGCCTTGTAGCTGTGGTTCCATGGTTTTCTAGCAAGTGGTATATTCCCCAAAGTGTCTACCTGACCCCACATTTCTTTAGAGATAGAGGTATTAAATCATGGGTGTCAAACTCGAGGCATCATGTTGCCGTCACGTGATGTATTGTGAAGTTTTTTTCCCTTCGCTGGGGCGGGTGTGGCCTGCAGGTGACACATCTGGCCTGCAGGTCACCAGTTTGATACCCCTGTTAAATGATCCCATGTCCAGAACTTTATTATTTCCTTCAACCTTCCTGTCTGAATTTAAATGGAGCTCTTTGCCCACTGCTTGATAATAGAAATGCTTAATCCATTTCAGGCACAGACCACACTGCCAAAAAATATATTAAGCCAAGAGAAAGAAATTGGAAGCAATGGAGAAAAAATAACTGTGATAGATTTTAATAATACAATTAATATACTACTAAAACTTCTGTTTCTGTAACCTTTAACTGGGTGAAACAGTTACTGGGTGAAAGGTAAACATCATAGGGCAAAAGTTTTTGAACCAAGGTACCTCAAATGGGCTAACTTACAGAATGCTGGGACCCAGGACTCTCAAAGAAATGAAATTTGGGAAAGTTGTTGCTGTTTCAGTACTGCAGGGCTGCTGTGGCTGCTTCAGCATCGTCTCATTACACTGTCACTTTCAGATGTGGTCACATGATCTCATTCTCAGTGTTCCCTGGCAGTTTCCCACAAGTCCAAGGGAGCATCAGTCCCTTTGCTCTTGCATCACACTCCCTTGCTCCCTTCCCCACCCAGCAGCAGCTACTTACCTGCCTGCTGGGAAGGAAGAGAAGGGAAGGGAAGGGAAGGAATGGGAGGAGAGGGGAGGGGGAGGGAGGGAGGAAAGGAAGGAAGGAAGGAAGGAAGGAAGGAAGGAAGGAAGGAAGGAAGGAAGGAAGGAAGGAAGGAAGGAAATTATTCACTGAAACATAAACTCACCATTCAGGGTTACTATGTATGGCAGGCTAATCTACACTGTGATTTAGAATAATATGTGAACTCAGACGATACATTTAGATATGTAGGATGGAGTTTTAAGAGCTACAATCGAGGCTACGTCTGAGAAAAAAGTGCATAGTAACTTTAAGTGAAGCTCCTGGAGTTGTACCCAAGGTTTTGAGTTGGGAAGAAGAAACACAGTTTTAGAGCCTCCGTGTATGAATCCCTAGCATAAAACAATTTTATTGAATGAGTGGCAAAATTGTCAGGGCATAGCAGGTTGTAACTTGGTTGTGTTGCATACTTCATCTCCTGCTTTCATCTTAAGCACATTTCCAGTTTATAGGAAGCCAACAGTTGTGGCTTTCATGCAACTTCTTGTTTTGTTTTGTTTTTTTAATTTGATTTATATGCCGTCCTTCTCCAGAGACTCAGGGAGGCTTACAATGAGTTAAGCAATAGCCTTCATCCTTTTGTATATTTATACAAAGTCAGCTTATTGCCCCCACAAACTGGGTCCTCATTTTACCTACCTTAGAAAGGATGGAAGGCTGAGTCAACCTTGAGCCTGGTGAGATTCGAACTTACAGTAATTGCAGACAGCTGGTGTTAATGACAATGCTTTTAGTCCTCTGAGCCACCAGGCCCTCATTTTTGCAATGAATCCAACCAAAAATTGTAGAGGGAAAAAAATGAGAGCGAAAGCTTTCCTGTTTTGGTTCAGCGTTGGAATCACTTCCATTTATCCTGTCCCATTTACCACTGCTGTTCTACATTGCCCAGTAACAAAGGGCTCTTTTCCCCATCTAGCAACATGACAATTCAGCAGTCAAATTTGGGGAAAATTTATCTTGACAGCAGAGTTTGTGGAGATGCTAGTGGTCTGGATAGGAAGTTGTGTGCATCTCAAAGGCAGAATGTAATGGCGCAAATTAACCAAGAAACCTAAAGGTCAGAGGTGGATTAAGCTAAAAATTGGGATGGATTACTCTAATTAGGTTTGAATTAATTAATTAATTAATCTTGTTTAGGAGATGAAATAAAATGCAGCACACGACGTGTACAGAGGACAGGATCCACCATGCATTGGAGAGGTGCCTTCATGGCCTTAGCAAAAGGACATTTTCTGCAAGTACATGGACAGGTAAGTGAAAAAACTTTACTTACTACTAGTAAAGAAGTACTGCTAGTAGAAGATACTACTAGTAGAATATAATATGAGTAAAGAAGTACTAGTAGTGTACTAAAACTACTAGTATGCAGGTTTTGCTGAGCTAAGAGCTATAGCTGATTTTTGGAGCCATATACCAAAAGCTGGTTTGGGAGAAAATTAAAATTCTTGTACTCTAAAACAATAAAATGTACAGTGAGTTTTATTATTCCCCAAGTATGAATTCATTTATCTCCCTTTCCCTTCAAAATTAGAATTTAGTGTCAATTTGGAGTATGGATTCCATAGGATGCATGGGGCCATTGGGCTCTGAACTGTACATAACTATTTGAAGAAAAGGTGTAGCTACTATGATACTGGTCTATATACATTTAATCTAAATAACAAACTACTATTACTACCCCTCATTATCACAATTCTTCCATTTCTATTCTAGGTTAAAGTTCTTAAGAGCCTAACTAATAACCCCCTACTTAGTAAAAACGTCTCCTTGAGAGCTGGGGGAATATGGTAAACACTGAGTGTGTGCTCGGGTACTTTGCTCTATTATCACAGGTGTATTTTTGTGTTGAGCTCTGGCCTTGTGATGCTACAAGTTTCAATAGCAACAAGGTCACCACAAAGACTAGTTCCAAAGGTTAAACCAGGCAAAACATCCTTGGGAGTCAAAAAAGGTCAGACTAGCAAGAGGAATGCTGTTTACAGGTGGGACTTTAGTGGTGGAAATGTTTGTAGTTGCTTCAAAAGAAAAAGAAGACAACTTTGTGGTAGTGTTAACAGTGCATTTGAAAATTGAAATTCTGGTTCCATAGCTTCAAATTTTGTATTTGATATGTATGGTATTGACATCATTTATTGAGCTTATATACAGTGGTTGAATAGACTTGTGTAGCCTTCTGTTCCATTTTTCTCCTTTGACTAATGCTATAGAAAGTGTCTAGAAATAGCAAAACTGCTGGCTTTCCTCTTCAATTCCCTTCCCTTCATCCTCTAGACAGATATTTTTTTCAGACATATTTGCTTACTCTCATCACTGAGAAAAGTTAAGAGCAAGGAGAGAAGCTTCCACTTGAGGGGTAGATGCACCAACCCTAGTTTAATCCAAAACCTGGGCATTTCCAAATCCTCTAATACACTCTAAGGCAATGCTGGGCAACGTTCAGCAGAATTGTCTGTCCTTCCATCTTTCCTGCTGCAGGTGTGTTGTCTTCTTTTGCAGGAAGGGTCTAATATTGTTCTGTTAGTCAGTGAAACCTCATTTCAATTTCCAGAGCTTTAGAAGAGGGAAATCAGCACCATTTCCCCAGGCACTGCCATTTTTCAATGTGCACAGCCTTTTGTTTGTAGAATTTTCCAATAGCAAGCAGTCTGAGTGTGATAGCAGAATAGAAAGAGAAGAGGCATCTATTGTACCCACTTGGATATTTGTGTCCAAGTGGCCCCCAAGACCAGGGGTGTCAAACTTGGTTTTATTGAGGGCTGCATAAAGGTTGTGTTTGGCCTTGGGGGGCTGGGGTGGGCATGGCCAGCTTGAAGTTACTCGTGTCGGGGGCGCCTGTGGCCCGAGCACTCTGCCAGAGAAAACAGGCTCCCGAGCTCAGTTTTCAGCTGGGACAGCCTCCTGCAACACTCTGCCAGAGAAAACAAAGCTCAGGAGGGCTGCATGCGGCCCTCCCGAGCTCCATTTTCACTGGCAGAGGCACCACGGGCCAGTCCTTTGCTGTTTCCAGGTGGTCCCGTGGGCCAGATCTAAACACCCCGTGGGCTGGATGTGGCCCATGAGCCTTGAGTTTGACACCTGTGAATTAGACGGAATCCTCAGCCTGTTGCTTCCTTCTGGCCATCTGAAACCTTCTAAGAATTCTCCGGAACAGACTTTGGTTTTTTGAAGGAATCTGCAAATGAAGGGAATTGCCTAGCATTGGGGAAAAAGTGTAGGGCAAGAGAGAGAGAGAGAACATGCTAGACAGTTTAAAGAAATGCACTCCAATATCCTCAACAGGTTAAATTAGATGGAGTTTTGCCATTTCAGTACACGCATCATACATGTATTTCTAATGTCATTTTTACATGTGATTGTCAGTTATTTCCATAATGTACCATCTTGCATTTTATATCTTGGCTGCCATCAGTCTAAAATACTGACTATAGAAGGTTAGGGGCTTCAATCAGTATTTATGACAATTTCTCATGATAATAGTCTGCTTTAATATTGGTCAGCCTATGTCTTTATCATGGGTGGAACCTTGATATTTACATCTCCCAGTGATGTTTTCAATAGTTGCTGGTTGCAACCTTTGAGCTTTTCTTATATGACAAAGAATTGAGAGAGGAAATGCTAACCACAGATGCCAAGTTAAGGATTTAGCATTTCCGGGGGACAATATAATTCTAAGAAGAACATGCTGCATTCTGAAAAAGTATCTCCCCCACTGTATCAGCCTGCAGCAACATGAATTCTGCCACCCACTATCACCCAGCTATAAAATTTTGCTGCTTTCAGGATGTGTTATTTGATATATTTTGAGCACATTTACAGAAAATAAAGGGCTGTTTTTGCCCCTTGGCATCTCCTATTAGGGTAGGAGAAACTCTGACTTTAAATCTTAGGAAGGTGCTGCCATTCAATGCAGCAATACAGAGTTATGTGAACCAGTGGGCAGCATCTTAAATTACTTTCTACGAGTTACTGGATTTAGAGGCTTGTTTAGCCCAGGTGAATTAAATATGAAGCCAGTTAAAAAATAATTTAACAAAGAGACACTGGCCAGCCTGTTGATTGTATATCATAGTTGCTTTTCAGTGGTGGGTTTCAAAATTTGTTACTACCAGTTCTGTGGGTATGGCTTGGTGGGCATGGCAGGGGAAGAATACTGTAAAATCTCCATCCCCCCCCCCCAATCCAGGGGAAAGATACTGCAAAATCCCCATTTCCTCCCAATCAGCTGGGACTCAGGAAGCAGAGAATAGATGGGGGCGGGGCCAGTCAGAGGTGGTATTTACCGGTTCTCCGAACTACTCAAAATTTCCGCTACTGGTTCTCCAGAACTGGTCAGAACCGGCTGAAACCCACCTCTGGTGCTTTTCTGATACTCATGTTGATGGTATGAACCTTCACTTTGCCATTTAATTTATCAATAATTAGTCTGTGTTGTAATATTAATTATTGTTACTAAACATATTTCAAAATGGCATATACAGTTTCTGCTTTATTTCAGATCAATCATATCATTCAGTGGATAGCCTCAGAGCATCAGATCTGAAGGAGGGTTTTAACTTAAAATTCAGATTCCCACCTGGACTGATTTTGTCCTTCCTCCAAGGATTAGTCTAAATACAAAGATGTTCCCTCTATGATTTTAAAAGGCCCTTATCTGGCCCACAACACTACCTTCAGTTCAGTTGGTACACTTGCTTTGCTGCTCTGAGTGACAGGTGGAATACACACTCAGGTTAAAAAGGGCATACATTATGGGTTTGCATAGTATCAATGAGTATAAATAGCTCACGATTATGCAGGGCAAAAGATCTGATCCTATGTTCTGCAGGTAATGTATGTGCAATCTGCAAAATCTTATGGGCAAGGAGACTTCTTTAGTGAAGACTACTTATGCTCTTGGCTTTGTGGTATGATTGGATATTCTCTAATTATTTTTCCTCTCTTCCAAATAGCTGGGCTTTGTCTGAACTGCTGGACCCTCCAGGAGCTAGTTAGTCGCGATGCAGGGAACTACCTCATTCTCCTGGAAAAAATCCTACAGAAGACTCAAGAGGTAAAACAAAGGGAGACATGGGAAAGAACATAAGATCTGATGATGAACTACCTTCTTGCTGATACAATTACCTTGTTTGCATGTGTTGAACCTTCTACAAAAGGGAAATCATCTTGTGGACGAGCATCTAATGAGATTATCTAACTGCCTATCTGCATCCTTCTTGGAACTGATTCCATCTTTATTGAGAGACATCTGGTCTCAGTAGATTTAGGAACTAGTTTGAAACTGTCAGTTCTGTTTTCTGCTGTGATGGAAACAGCAGCTAAAGTCCAGAGTTGGGTCAGGCAGGATTCAGAAAGGTGTTGTTTTTTTTAAATCTATCCTGCTTTGAACAACAGCTCCTGATATGAACCTACTGTCCTAATAATAGACATTAAAATTCATTCCTTTGATCAAATTCCACCTTCCTCTTTTTCTCCAGAGAATATCTGTTTTTGTGAAATGGGCAGGTTCAGCAAGGGAGGTCTCACCTTTCTATTGAAAAAGGAACTTGCTTTGATTCTGAAACAAGGTTACTTCAGTGTTACTGAATAGAGATTAGTGTAAGGAGTTCCAGTGAATCCATTTGATATCTTCTGGACTGGGTTTTTTTTTAATTATTATTATTCTTTTCTTCCTGTCAGTGACTTCCTGGTTCTTTAATAGAGCCTTGCCCCAGTTATTTTGAGTTTTTGTAATTTAGAAATAGTGTTTGGTTCAGGGTACATAAAGCAAAATCAAATCACAGGTGTGAATCCATTAGAAGAAAGTTTCCTTTTCATCTGTACAAGACCATGGAGTTTAATAAAAAGTCACATTTGGATCATAGGAAATAAACCAAAGCCTCCAGTACCTTTGATGAAGCACTCAAAAGTCCTCTTTCTCACTCTCTTTAAAAAAAAAAACAAATCCCTGTATAATGGTAAAAATATTAAATAAATGCAGTACCGCAGGCTATTTCTGCTGATTGCCAGCTACCAGCAGTTCGGCAGTTCGAATCTCACCGGTTCAAGGTTGACTCAGCCTTCCATTCTTTCGAGGTCGGTAAAATGAGGACCCAGATTGCTGGGGGCAATACACTGGCTCTGTAAACTGCTTAGAGAGGGCTGTAAAGCACTGTGAAGCGGTATATAAGTCTAAGTGCTATTGCTATTAAGTATTTGTAATTTTAATCCAATGAAATTAAATAAAGTTTAATTTTTCTTTCAATTCTACTCAGAACTTTCTGAATGTGGCCCCTGGCATGCCAATCAATGCTGCATTTGTTCAATTCAACCTTCTCCATCTTGATTCCCCCTCCCATCTCATCTATTGGATTCTTACATCTATAAATCCCAAGGTGTTTTCCCCCTATAACTCCTTTTATAAAGTTTTGGATATATAGTTTAAACTTCAGTACTTCTTGATAATGCTACTCATGCTTCTCATTTTGATAGCTGTGAATCTTTCTTGAATGTGAGGATACTGTTGTTATTACTTTGGTCTTGTTGAACCTTTTTTTAAAAAAATAATTAATTTAAAAAAAGATGAATAGGTATAAGCAAAAAAAAAACCATACTATTCTAGCAGTACCTTTACAGTAAGCACTGAGAACATTGGCTCTCAAAGTATGGTTTAATTCTGATTCCTCTCAGACCAAGCCATCCTGGTCTGTGGACACAGAAGATGGAGATACCATTGTACAGCATCTGAAAGGTCACATCTAAAGCATCTAAAGACAAGCATCTTCTGCAAAAGGCATCACTTCACTTGCCTGTAGTATCTAATACAATGTCAGAATAACAGAACTGGAAAGGACTTTGAAGGACCTAGTCCAACCCTCTGCTCAAGCATACCATTCCAGACACATGGGTGTCCTATCTCTTCTTGAAAATCTCCAGTAATGGAGCACCCAAAATTTCTGGAGGCAAGCCATTCCATTGATTAATTGTTCTTGCTGATAGGCAATTTCTCCTTAATTCTAGGTTGGATTTCTCTTTGATAAGTTACCATCTGTTACTTCTTATGCTGCTGTTTGGTGCTTTGAAGAATACTGTAGGTCGACCCCCTCTTCTCTGTTACAATGTCATTCTTTTTCCAACTAGCACCACTATCTAGAAAGATGTACTGATAAATTATGTTGAGTATTGTGCCAGAGCTCAGAATCACCATTCAAAGTGACTTTATCACTGGAACAAGTACCCTACAGGCCTGGTCCACATTTTGCACCACAACACATACGTGTGTTTTTTGAATAATGTGGGAACCCAACTCTTCTGCTCTGTATTATGAAATATGTTTTAGTATAATGTGTAAAAACTATGCAAAGTGAGATTAATATTGCTTTTAATGGATTTTCTTTTAAGTAGTTTACCAAATTACATATTTTCATTTTCTGTTCTTTCTTGTTTTTCTTTTTTATGAAGGTCCAAGAAAAATGTGACTACAATCTCTTTACTCCATTGGCCTTTCTCTTCAGTGCAACTGTCCTGTGTGTAAGTTTGGAGCTTAAACCCTGAAATTCATGGTCTTAGTAGTCAAGCCTTTGTGATGATGACTCGCTGTCATTTAGATTTTTTCTAAATTGATGCGATAATCTATCATGAAGGCGTGCTGTAAATAACTACCACTGGACCCTGTGTTTATTGAAGCACAATGAAAGAAATAAGTCAAGCAATATCATCAGAGTTAGAGCTTCTGCTTGAGGAAGTCACAGTAATCTGTCCCTTGTCACCTCACGGTTGGATTATTGTAACACGCTCTACATGAGGTTACCCTTGAAAAGTGTTCGGAGACTACAGTTGGTCCAGAATGCAGCCGCGTGAGCTATTGTGGGTGCACCTAGATACACCCACACTATACCAATTCTCCGCGAGCTGCACTGGCTCCGTATTGGTCTCCGGACGCAATTCAAGGTGTTGGTTACTACATTGCTCAGGGCCAGGCTATCTTCGAGACCGCCTTCTACCGCATAGCTCCCATCGACCGGTAAGATCCCACAGAGTTGGTCTCCTCTGGGTCCCATCAGCTAAACAATGTCGGTTGGTGGGCCCGCGGGGGAGGGCCTTCTCTGTGGCTGCCTCGGCTCTCTGGAACCAATTACCTCCTGAGGTCTGGACCGCCCCTACCCTATTGGCCTTCCGGAAAGCAGTGAAGACCTGGCTTTTCCGGCAGGCCTGGGGCCGTTGATCTCGCTACGGCGATCTTGCGAGACCCGGCCATGGAATGGAGTGTATGGGTTTTAATGTTCTTTAAAACAAATTTTACGGGATATTGTTCGCATTGTTTTTTTGCTGTAAGCCGCCCAGAGTCCCTAGGGAGTTGGGCGGCATAGAAATGTGACTAAATAATAATCAGAGAAACCTTGGCTGCAGTAGCAAGCCAGAAATTTATTTTAATATATTCAGTGGAAAGATGAGGACAGTTGGAAAAGTAAGTCAATGATCAGGTGTTCTCTACAAGACTGAGGTCTTCACTGTCTAGATTCTACCTCTTCAAATCTATCAGTCCTCAATAAAAATAAAAAGGAAGGGGTTTAAGACAAGATATTGTAGCTTTAAAAAGTAGTGGCCATTGTAATAAATATGGATTGAACAATCTATGTTTGGGAACTTGAGAACTTTTTTACACTTATTTCATCTGTCTCTTGACCATTTTATTAAGTGACATTTATTGATGCCTCTTATAATCCATTAGAAGGGTGGGCTTCCCTTCTTATAAGAGGGACTACCAATGGCAATAATAAATGAAGGAGAGAGAAAGAGAGGGAGAGAGGGAGGAGGGAGGGAAGAGAGAGAGAGAGAGAGAGAGAGAGAGAGAGAACATCAAATTCTGTGCTATTGTGTTATGAAGATTTTGTTTTCCTTTTTTTCCCTGGAGCTTTTTCTGGGGGGAGGTGTTACCATGCTGTTAAACAGATAAATCTGTAGCATTAGCTCATGCTTGATATCTCCAATGGGCCCTTGTGTTATTTGTCCTCAAGCGATGCACCTCTTTAAAATACCTTTTCTCCTTAGATCCCCCATTTTCCTTCGGATTCTGATCTGCTTTTGAGAGCTGTGAGGATGTACCGTGATTTTCTCACCTGGCCTGTGCCATACTGCAATATCTGTCAGGAATTACTTAACTTTATCAACAATGAACTCAAAGCCCCAGGTAGGAATCTTCAGGATTTTTTTGGAGACTGATTGAGCTAAGCACACTGTCCTGGGAAGACAGCTTGCTGGACAATGATATGGCAATTTTAAGCATGTTGATACATTTAGATTTCCTAGTCATAGATGTTTGTCTAATTAAATTGAATAAATAGAAAGCATGAAAGTGTCCCAAATTTAGTTTTAGTCATGAATAACATTTTAAAGAATGTTGTTCCTCTGTCTTGGCTATCTAACCAGACAGTGGCTAATTTTATTTATTTGTTTATACAATTTATAGACTACACAACATACAAGTAAAGGTAAATAAACGTTACAAAAAAATGAGTGACCTGAAATCAACATATAACACCTCCACACAGAATCTATACAGCAAAGGGTTCAAATTCCACTTGACCAAAGATGCAAATAATAGCTAGCTCTTTAATAACTTCCTGAACACCATCAGAATGGGAGCCACCCAGAATCTGGTAAACTCCTAAGTCCTCTTCCCAGCCATTCCCATCCTACTTTCTCAGGATTGTGAAAAGCAGATTGTCCCTCTCTCATTCCAAGTTGACTCTTGCATGAACTTTGCAAAGCTGAAGCTTTTTTGGAGGGGATTTTGTTTTTCTCTGGATTTCTGAGTCTAGCCTATAGCTCTGGATTCCCTAATGTTTTTTGACAATATAGTAAACAAGATAGTCTTTTCAAGACAGTCTAGGTCATGGTGCATTGGGTATGTATTAAAATTGACAGACAGGGATCTTAAGCCTTAAAAGTACTTAGCTGATCTATTTTGTTTATTTTCATGAGCACAAAAGGCGAGGAAGCAGAAAACTGATGGTTTTACCTTTAAATTTCAATGTATTTATTGTCAAATTGCACACTCTCATGTGCACAACAGAATGGGAACATACAGCATGGAATGGGTTGCTCAACCTGTATCACTGCTGTCCTATTTTGCATGGTGAAAGCCAGCTCATGCTGCTTCTTTGGCTGACCGCTTCCCTTCCTTTACAGGGATTGCTTTTCAAAGGCTTGTTAAAGCTGAGCAAGGATTACCTCAAAAAGACTGTGAGAATTCTACCGTGTAAGTATTAAACATTCTACATTTTTAGAGCAGTTTTCCTAACCTGATATCCTCAGGATGATTGGACCATAATGCCCATTACCTTTAGCACAACTGTAGGACACCAGCTTAGGAAAACCTATCTGTAGGGGAAGAGGCTTTGTTCCTTTGGTGTGTTATTAACAGCTTTGGATCCTTGTGGCTCTCTGACTTCGGGGCTTTGCTTGCAAACATTTCATTGGAAACATCACTAAGGACTCCATGCTGCAACCCTGAGCTACATATTCTCTTCTATTAACGGTTTGCTTGTTTTCCTGTCTTCTTTCCCTAGAACAGTCCTATTGCTGAATCCTTCAGAAGTTGATGAGGAATTCCTATCAGTTGCTGAAAAGCTAAGCTCTGCAGACTACTCCCAGCATACATTACTAGTGACACTCCTGGAGCACACATACCAAGCTAACTTTGGGACCAGATGCAACCTGGCAAAATTACGTCAAATCCTGAAGGTAAAGAAAATCCTCTGGTCTAGGCCTTGATTTATTTATTCATATTGCTATTAATAGTAGAAATATAAATACATGCATTCCAAATACATCAATAAATAAAATTATTTTCAGTTAGGTTTTAGGCTAGGACTTGGTATGGAGACAGCTTTGGTAACTTGTCAGTGACCTGTAGTGAAGTTAGGATTTGGGTGATGTATCTGTCCTGGCCCTCCTTGATTTCTTAATGGTCTTCAATGCCATCAGTCATGATATATTTCTGGACTGGCTGCAGGGAAATAGGAATGGGAAGTCCAGTACTGCAATTGCCTCCTTCTCCACAGTCAGTGATGGTGGTGGAAAGAGGTCACATTCAATACTGCTGCTTCGTGAGGTGCAGTGGGACTCAATACTCTCCCCTCTCCTGTTTAATATATACATGAAGCAACTGGAGGGGTTAGTCATTGCTTCAGGGGCATATATCATAAATATGTGGATAGTACTTTGTTGCATATCTTGACCTCCGGTTGGCCAAGTGATGTCAAGGCATTGTCTTTATGCCTGGAAGCTGTCAGTAACTGGATGGGAGGAACAGACTCAAACTTACTACTGGGAAAACCTGGTTGTGGATGCTATGATCTAATGCTAGGAACTTTCCACCCTTGGTCTTCAATGGGGCAACACTCCCTCATTCAACAGTAGTGTACAATCGCAGCATCTACTGGAACTATTACTTTTTGCTTGAGGAATAGGTGGCAGTTATGCCCAGGAAGGTCTTTACACAAATCTAATTTGTACACCACTTGCTCCCGGATTCAGAGAATCACTCTTACAATTACTCATGCCTTGGTTTTCTTCAGATGGGCTATTGCAATGACCTCTATATGAGGTCATTCCCTGAAAACTACTCAGAAGCTACATCCGATCCATAGTGCAGCAGCTTGATCAGTGATTGGCAGGTCTCACTATGTCCATATAAACTTCTGCTTCATGAGCTGCACTGATATACCAATAAGCTTCCTACTCTCTGATTTTTTCTCTCTTTGCTCTTTCTTTTTCTCAATTTTTTGGAGTCTATCTTCATATTTCATCATCATTTGCTGTATGTTCTCCACTTTGTCATCTGTTTTCTCTGTTCTTTGTTCAATCTTCTCTACTCTTGTTTGTATATTTTGAACTCCTTGTAAAATCATCTGTAGTGTCGTCTCCTTTTCTTTCTCTTTTTCCCTCTCCTTCTGCTGTAGCATCATCTGTATTGACCGCTGTCCTCCAGATGGTGATGGAGAAGGCGTCGATGTGGAAGAGCCAATAGCTGTTGCTTTTTTACTCATTCTGTGAAGTAGTTGCAAAAGGTTTAAACAAATAAAAAAAAAACAAATTCTTCAGGTTCTTCTATACCTTAATCCTTTTATGGATGGGGCAAGTATTACCCCAAATATCAATAAACTACGCAAAAAGCAAAAAAAGAAGAAGAAAAGAAAAAACAACAAAAAACAAAGAAGCAATCTTCAGGCTCTTGTATGCCTTAATCCAATTCAGTCCAATAAAAAATATTAACCACTTTGGCAATCTCCACTCCAAAAAAGAGAGGAAAAAAGCAAAATAAAAAACCAAAGGAGAAAAGAGACAAAAAAAATTATATATATTTGTAAAAAAAATAAATTAAAAATTAAAGAAGAAAAATTAAAAATCCTCCATCAACTCATAGTCCAATTAAAAATGCTTACACAGGGAAAAGGTGAAGAAACTACCACTTAGGGGGGGGAAAGGATGAGAGAAAAAAAATGTCTAAATAAAAATCACTTCTGCTTAAAATCCGAGGATTCTTTTATTAGGTCCCAAATAGTATTTGCAATTCTCTTTCAGAGTCACTATAAATTCCTTCTTATTCAATCTCAGGCTTCTGCCTCTGATAGCTCCCAGAAGAACACCTGAATAAACAATTCTACAGACAGTTTTAATGTCCTTTGATGTTCTCCCCACTATGTTATCTATGAAAAGGCTCAGAGTCCTTGAATTGTAACACAATTGTTACTTCTTGAATCAAAGAAAAAGAAATAAAATTTACAAACCACTAGATGGCAGTGTTACATATTCTCTTCCCTTTCCCCTGCTATATTCAATGTACATTGGAATAAAAATAGCCAAATAGGAGAGAAAAAAAATACCAAAAAATGAAATCAGAACGAATTTATAATAAAAAGACACCAAAAAATTTAAAAATTCAATAGCAAGTCGGAAATCTCAAGTTTAATTCCGCCGCTTAATTTTCTTCTGTCTTCAATTTGATCTTCCTTTCAATCTCAGGGTGCTCTCTCATATAAGTTATGATTAAAAGTCTCTCACCGATTCAACATACTTCCTTCCGATCTTCTTCCGTTCCAGAGCCGTCCCAACTTCAGCAGCTACAATGGCTGCCACCCCACTGCCAGAAAAAGGGCTTCTCCTGGATCGACCAGGGACTTTGCGGTGTCCCTGGGATCGACAGAATGTGCCCTCCACTATCACCATCTCAACAGGACGGTGAGGTCCAAAAAGGACCGTCCAGTGACAGGGATATCGATGGTGGTCCTGGAACCCCAGGATCTTCCGTCATGCCATTGCGACGTCAGCTCCGCCCTCATCCTGGAATAAATTGTTTTTGTTGGTGTTGGTACTGCTGCTGTTACTGCCATAGTGAATCTCATTTCTCTGAACATTTGTTCAGATTGCAGTAGCTTTTATTTTTGAAGTAATTGCCAATCGAATTTTATATTATTTTCTTTCTATGTAGCTGAAAACTGCAGAAGAACTCATGAAAATGTTCACCAGAACCACAGAAGCCCAGGAGATGGCAGTTCTGACTAACAATGATCCTTCAACTGCTAGAGAACAGCTGGAATCTGCCTTGCTAGAGATTGCAAGAACAGCAGGGCTACCTGAAATAGCAGGTAGGAAAGCTAAGACAGGTGTGTGAATATATTTAGATGCTGTCTCCATCCTAATGGAGTCTGTCTACCTCTTAATGTGTCCATTTCTCTCTTCAGATGAAGGCCAGCTGTCTAAACTCCGTGTGATCCCCATCCCTGTTGCTCGCTGTCGTGTGTACAGATGGGATAAGGATAATTTTGGTAAGCTTAAAATCTGTAGACCAGTTTACATGCTTAATAATGTTTTCAGAGGGGAGGAAGGATGGTTTGGTAAGCCTGATTGAAATAAAGTAGGAGACTTGGGCCCAACTTCTTTAGAATAGAATAGAATAGAATAGAATAGAATAGAATAGAATAGAATAGAATTTTTTATTGGCCAAGTGTGTGATTGGACACACAAGGAATTTGTCTTGATGCATATGCTCTCAGTGTACATAAAAGAAGAGATACATTCATCAAGAATCATACGGTACAACACTTAATGATAGTCATAGGGTACAAATAAGCAATCAGGAAACAATCAATATCAATATAAATCATAAACCTAAGACTGGTCTTGATTTTTTAGAAATAGAGAAAGCATATATAAAAGTAGAGCCTGATATTATCTTATTAATTAAACTATTAATATCAATAGCTCTAAGACAGAAATTATAGACAAATGACATCTTCTAGGGTGTACCACAAATAAAGACTGCTTTAAACTGTTGGGGTTTTTGTTACATCTTATTTTGTATCTGCCTCCTTGTTACAGATATCTTGAATGAGGTACTAGACAAAGAAATGGATTATTCAAAACAAGTTCTTTTGGAGGATGAAGAGGAGGAGGAGGAGGTTGACAATTGCTTTGCCAAAAAAGACTGCCTGTTGTCCACCTTTGCCTCAGTCAGGAAAGACTCTATGTACTCAACATTGTCAGAAGATGACCCATGTGACTCACAAGTGTCTGTCATCTCTGCTCTTTCCAAAAACTCTGAGCTCTCCTTGGTCTCTAAGAAGTCCTTGAAATCTTTTGTCTCCAGTCTGAAAGATTCTATGGATAGTGGCTATGTGGAAGACAGTGATGACAACTCTTTAGATTTGACAGGACGCTTAGATCTGAAGGAAGTAAAAGTGTCACACAGGCATCGGCTGAGCAACAGGCTATACAAGTTGTTCAAGAGCAAGAGCCAAATGATCTTGGGCAGAGATCTGAGAGATGTTTCTGAGGTAGCCTCACTGTCGTTGCCATTACGCCGAGCAGAGAGTCTCTGCAATCCTGTAGCCAAGGAGCGTATCCCTGCACGATCCCGACGGGCACAGTCACTGCCACAGCATGTGCTGAGTGCCACACTTTTACAATGCCATATAGCACAGAACACTTTTGTCCAACGCAGGCCCTTGTTGAGTTGCGATGAAGATACAAAGATTTCAACACTGCGAGTAGTCGTGTTTGGTTCTGATCGCATCTCAGGGAAAGTGGCCCGGGCTTATAGTAGTCTGAAGTAAGTGGGTGAAAGCGATTCTTAATAACTTGTCCCTTGCCCTTTTCAAAACTATTGTTTTATTATGCAGGGACCAGCCAATGTAATATTTAGAAGACCAATGTTCCTATAGCTTACAGTAGCTTCTCTGTTAGTCACTGCAGTGAAATTTCTTCTGAGGCCTTATGTTATGTCATATGTTTTATTTTTGTCGTTCATGACTCGTTCATGCAAATAGGTGCCAAAAAAGGGGGGGTGTAATCGGAAATAGGCTGTATGCTTTTTTTAGTACCTACTGTCACTAGAGGATAAGGCCAGTAGTGAAATCCACTTTTTTTTACTACTGGTTCTGTGGGTATGGCTTGGTGGGCGTGGTGTGGCTTGATGGGCATGGCAGGGGAAGGATACTGCAAACTCTCTATTCCTATCCCACTCCAGGGGAAGGATACTGCAAAATCTCCATTCCCTCCCCACTCTGGGGCCAGCCAGATGTGGTATTTGCCAGTTCTCCGAACTACTCAAAATTTCTGCTACCATTTCTCCAAACTGTTCAAAATTTCCGCTACTGGTTCTCCAGAACCTGTCAAAACCTGCTGGATTTCACCCCTGGATAAGGCCCAGTATCTTTCAGTTCTGGACCATTGCAATGTGCTTTGTATGGAACGGCCTTTGAAGACCATTTGAAAACTTCAGTTGATTCCAAGTGCGGCAGCCTTTTGGGTTTAAAGAGAGCTATTTGAGATATACATTGTTGTCATTGGTTGTAATGCTGCATATGTTAGGATTGCCTATTATGTTGTCCTTCATTTTTACCATGAATTCCCTATTTTTGATGGATGTTGTAAATAGAACCAATCAATCACGTACTGTTTGAAAGTAAATGGACACTGCATATCACTTTCTTCATGTATTCATATTCTCTCTCTCTTTTTTTTTACAGATCTCAAGAAAGCAGCTGTCCCTGTTTAACTCGGTACTGTAGATTGCAATTTTTTTATGTCCCTGTGAAGAGGAGCAATCCTACCTCATTTGCACTGACTTACCCTCTTCTTTCATCAGGATGTCCTAATTCCCATAGCTCTGGATCAACGGTAAACCTCCTGAGCAAAGTTGGAGCTGATGCTTATAGTCTATTACACTGTGTAATAATAAAATTAAATAATTATTTCTTTATATGAGGTGCAAATGGAACTCATCCAATAGTTCTTGAGGAACTTGAATATGAATAATGCTAGGTGACTAAAATTGGTTTCTGTATCAAAGAACTGGAAATTGAATAATATATTGTCCCCTTTTAAAAAGGGAATCAAGAAAATTATAGCTGGTATTTGTGAAAAAAAATTACTAGATTAAATTAGCAAGCATACAGAAACAGTATTCTTGCTGAAGAATAAATAGCAGGGCTTCTATAACAGCATGTATAAGTTTTTGGACAATGTCAACAAACATAAATTGGAGAGATATAAGCAACACCACAGGTAGTCCTCAACTTGCAACAGTTCATTTAGTGACCATTCGAAGTTACAATGGTACTGGAAAAAAACATGACCGTCTTTCACACTTATGACCTTTGTAGATCCCCATGGTCATGTGATCAAAATTCGGATGCTTGGTAACTGGTTCATATTTATGATGGTTGCAGTGTCCTGGGGTCATGCAATCACCTTTTACAACCTTCTGACAGGCAAGCCAATGGGGAAGCCAATGATTCACTTAATAACCATGTTACTATCTTAACAACAGCAGTGATTCACTTAACAACTTGGGCAAGAAAGGTCATAAAATGGGGCAAAATTCACTCAACAAATGTCTCGCTTAGCAACAGAAATTTTGTTGTAATTACATCTCACATGTGGTCATAAGCTAGGACTACCTGTATTTACTTGGACTAGTTCCAGTCCTAGAGCTTTGGCAGAATTCCTTAGCAAAGATTCCTAAGTAAACAAAGTGGATATGATTGCTCTTCTGAAATGGTAACTTGATTTTTTTTAAAAAAGTGGGGTGTGGAAAGTAACTAAAGACAGGAAAGAGAACTGGTATGAGGGGGGGTGTCGTTAAGACTACTGCTTTTCAATTTATTCATAAATTATCTGGAAAGAATGATGAGTCATACGATGGGCATGTTTCACTTGATAAGATTACTTTTAATTGCTAAGATGATTGAAACGAGAGCAACAAAAATGGGGGGGGGGAGCAAAGTGATGATCCCCAATAGGAATAGACATAGCTCGTTCACTGCTAGATAATTTTAACTGATGAACGTGGAGGTGAAAGTATCGTGTAACTAAGGATAGCAGCCTGATATTTGAGATGGCATTGATTAAGCAGAAAAGGATGAGCTGGTACAAGATAGGTCAGTGGCAGCGTTGACCCAGGATGTTTCATTTTGGGAATCAGTAGGAAAGAAGTAAAAAATGAAAGCAACCAATATTACGGAAATCTGTGGTGCAATTACACTCAAAACACTGTATTCACATTTGGCTGTTACATTTAAAGTAAAAAGGTTCAATTAACTCCTTCCTAAATGATTAAAGACCTGAAGCAATTCTGCTATTAAGAAGAAAGATTTGGGGGGAGGTGGATTCTAAATTATTTTAGATACAGTATCTCATATAAAAGTTGTATAAATCTATCCACAGAATGGCAAAAATGAACAGGGAAGTTTGCCTCATTCCTCATTATGGTGGAACTGAGGCCATTCAGTGTAACTGAATCAGGAAACACCTTTTTATGTAATACCTAGTTGAATGTTCAAAACAATGTCAAGACAGTTGTCCACCTGGATTACTTTAGAAGAGGTTTAGACTGATTTACACATATCACTATGTGAATGGACGCTAATTGTGCTAGATCTTTATCAGCATCGGTATAATTGTTGCTCCAGGATGTGAGTGGAAATATGCTGCTACACTCACATCCTTTCTCTGTGCTTTCCAGAGACATCTGGTTGGCTTGGGTGAGAACAGCATGCTGGACTAGATGAGCTTTTGATAAATACTTTAAGAGCATGTCTCTTTATAGCAAAAATTCAGCTGATATAAGTGAGAATTGAAAAAGCATAGTCTCTGTGTTTGGTGGCAAGATAGCATGAATGTGATAGAAGTCACTGCTAATCCCTTCTCCAAGTCATGCTTGCTTCTGTGCATCCCCCATTTGGGGAGGGTGAGTTTAGCAATATACACTTAGACTTAGAATAACTTTATTGTCACTTTAAATGTACACTAATCGGCATACATTAAAATGAAATTTTGTTGCATACAGCTCTCAGAGGGTCACCACCTCCAATATACTCTACATAAACATGACAAAATAAATAAATACAAAATTATGCATATACCGACATATATTATATGACACAGAGAAACAACACAGTCTAGTTCAGATGTATACATGTACATGGCAAGAAAAATGAATCTTGCAAGTTTACCAGACAGATGGCATTAGGGAACAAACTGTTATAGATTCTGGTGGTCCTGTTACAAATACTTCGAAACTTCCTCCCAGAGGAGGCATTGGATTTTGGAAGCTCAAGCTATGAGGCAACCTGACTGGAATGCATTGTTAGGCTATATGCTTCTTACAACAAATCCAGCTAGATTTGAACAAGAATTCATATACATCTGTCTTTAAAAAGTGGTTACTATGTTCTCAGCATAATAAGAATTCCCACTTGGACCTTTGAGCATTGCGGCTATGCTTCGGTAAAGCTGCTAATAAAATGTATTTTTTTGATTTCAGGATCCAGGTATGGGAGGGATGGAGAGCAGCACAAATGATATCTCATTCTATATAGGTATGCTGGATCCCTGGTACGAACGCAATGTTCTTGAGCTAATGAATCTCCCCACCAACGTTTTATGCCAGGTATTTTCTGAATTCTGAATTGCTTAGTGTGCATCTTGTTATTCAGCAATGCACTCCAGGCCCTTATTCTGTCAAACCTTTGCCCTTGGTCATCGTTGCCTATATATTGGAAATGTATCAAAAGACCAAAGAGTATTTTTAAGGAAGTGATCTTGTCATGCATGAGGAATGCCATACAGAAAGCTAAGACAAGATGGAGGCAGAATTGTGATATTGTGGTAGTGGAGAATAGAGAAGAGATCTCCTTTCTATTAACATATTAAGATCCCTCCTTTGAGTGTTCAGCTTATTGAAACAAAAAGTAATTCTCCTTTCTATGTTTGAGGAGAAATGTTAAATTATATTCTGTTCATTTACACAATAAGGCCATTAACATGTGTTAGCTTCCTGCCATGGGGTTCCATAAAATGCTAAGATTCTTGGAGGACTGACAAACATGCATGTCCTCCTGTGTGGCAAAGAACTGCAATTAATACTTATTAAATTATTAAATTTAGCTGCATTAAATACACATAAACCTTGTGCCTATTTGGATGTATTTGTCTTATTTTGTATTGACTTGCAAAGTTGCTTAGCTTTCCACTTACAAATTTTCTCTAAAAAAATTGAAATGTTTGGGGAAACTCAGAATCCTTTCTTGTCTTAGGGAGATATTCTTATGGGGTAGAGGGTTAGCAGAAGGCTGTGGTAGAATTACTGAACTGTACTGTTTAGATGGAAGAGAACTGATGACTTCTTGTCTATCTGCAGCAATCCATTAAGCCTGAGGGAGAGTCTTCAGAGGAAACAGCCACCCAACTTCCCATCCTGGCTGATATGATTCTTTATTACTGCCGCTTTGCTACCCACTCTATATTACTCCAGGTCTATCAGGCAGAGGTGAGAATCGTAAAAACCAGGGGTGTAATAAATAATAATAATAATAATAATAATAATAATAATAATAATAATAATAATTGTTATTAGTATGCTGTCATTATTATTGCAGTCCCATGCAATAGGCCAAGAATACCTTCAATTTCACTCAGCATATTTTATTCAATTTTGTGTTTGGCTAGGTTATCATTTTTCTGTGTGGCAGAAAAAGTCAGACCCAATAATACATTTTTCTTCTTGAGAATTAGAAGAGGGGGGTGCGCTACCTAAGGCATGGCTCTAATGGGCCAGTCTTATTTTTAGACTATTTTAGAAACCCCATCAGATGCCTGATTCATTCTTCTTCCCAAAACACTGTTGCTGGTTTCTTCTGCCTTGCCTATTTATAGAAGAGCTGACTGCCTCAACAAACATTAACTGTAGTCTTCCTGTTATTTATTGCAACTGTCTCTGAAAGTGTATATTTAAATCTTGATTCCTGGTTCTAATCCATATTTGGTCCTATAAACCAAATTTAATGTGTTTGTTAATTTGTTTTTAGCAAAAATGGTCTCAAAGTGGTGGTGGGGTGATTTGCTTTGGTTTATCTTGAAGGAGAATGTTAAATAACCTCTTCTCCTGAATTTCACAGCTCACTTTCATTGGGGGAGAGAGAAAAACTGAGATCTTCATCCACTCCCTTGAGTTGGGCCACTCAGCAGCTACACGGGCCATCAAAGCCTCAGGTAAGGCAAAGGAGGCTCATTGTGTGATCACTTCATGTTCAGTTTGGGGATTGGTCAGTGATCACTCAGTGATGCAAAGGAGAAAAACCAAAGCTCTGCCTGCAAAGAGCAACCAAATTGATAAACTCAGACAGGACTGTCATCTACTGAAGGGTTTTCTCTTCAACAATTGCTAGCATGAAACTCATGAGAAAGACAGACCTGATAAAATAAAAGAGGTCCTTTGTAACTAAATTAATTAATAGGCAGACCAGCAACTCTTTGGTCTTGTTTTGGAGAAACACTAATCTACTCAGTTCCACTGCTGCCATCTTGTTTCTCTGGAATGCTTGTAAAAGCTCACCATAGAAAACAAAAAAAGAGAATTCTTTAGTCTGACTTTCCTTCACCTCCTATAAAGTACTATGAGAAGGAGGCAAAAGGGAAGTCTTCTGCTTTCAGGTATCCATTGAAAGTAAGGGGATCAATGCTGTGAACCAACCAATAAAAGAGACACAGATGGTCATGGCAACAGCTATGCACTGATGGACCCAAGACATGAAGTCTTCTTGAAGGGAGGGGAGAAGCCAAAATAGAGGAACAGCATGTGTATTTATTCAGTTACAAAACTAAACAGCTCTTCTCCCTCTGCTAAACTACCTGCAGAGAGTTTCTGTGTTCTATTGGTGTTTACTCCCATCCATCCATCCATCCATCCAATCTCATCATCTTCTTATTTTGTTCAGGTCCAGGTTGCAAGCGTCTTGGCATAGATGGAGACAGAGAAGCAATCCCACTAACACTACAGATCACCTACAACAAGGTAAGGAAGATGCTCTTCTTTTGGGCCTCCCATGTTAGGACCTGGGTTGGAAAGGGGGAGTCTGCTCAAGAAAGGGAAGAAAACAGCAATACAAGTGTAAAGTTCTCAAGCACTGGGAGCAACTCATGGGGAAATGTATTTAATTAGAGAGAGCCAATGCTGTTAATGACAGTCTTCAGAGATTGGTACAAGGAACCAAGGGACTGGGAGTAACTCAATCTTTAATTTCTCCAGAGGGCAGTCAGTGGAAGGAGCCGCTGGAATGACATTGAAAAAGTTTGTACATCCATCAACCTTAGCAAGGGGTGTAAGAGACAAGAGGAACTTGGTAAGTGTGGGCAACAATTCTGCTTCCATAAGATGAATAATAAGTGTTGGGGGGAGGGGAATCTTGTTGAATTTAGGATTTATCTGAAGAAGTGGGCAGCTGATTTGGAGAGACCCAGACTGTGCAATGGAGGTGGTATTTATTAATGCACTCCTTGTTGGTTAACTTGACACTTGTGTAATGAGAGGCAAATGTTATGATTAAATACTTGTGTCCCAACATCTGGCACTAGTCCTTAAACTGTGGGATTGTGTGATGATATTCTTATGCATATGTCATCATTTTCTCCTGTTTGTTTCCCCCTGGAAACAAAACAGAAAGGGAAGGTTGGAGACTAATTAATCATTATAAAAGAATGTGAAGTCCAAGGATGGCCTCTTGAAGACAGGATACATCACTGTTTCTTTCAAGGCAGGAAGAACCTTCTGTCAAAGAGGCTGATGCCACTTTTATGTCCTATTAGGTGCCCAGATCTAGTAATTAGGTAACTGAGCTGACAGTACAGACTGATTTCCTTAGGAGTTACCAGTTGATTGCACATCATACCACTAGACTGTTCCCTGGGCACCTTGGCCTGCCTTGCCTGGTCAAAGCCCAAGTCAGAACGGATTTGAACGACTCTGTTTGCCAGAGAGATTCTCTACCTCTGCAATAGACCAAATGCTGCTACCGATATTTCCCCTTTTTTTGTATGCTTACAGCTTTAGAGATATCTGCTAGATTCATGCAGTAACAATCTTGGACACTAAATGTCATACACTTTCCTGCTTTTAACCAAAAATGTTTGCACTCCAGTAACCTGACTGGTTTTAAACACAGAGGGGTTGGCTGCTGTCCAATTATCTAAGGAAATCGTATTTTTAGCCTGATAGAACAATGTGCTTACAACTTCAAATGCTTGTAATTGCACATTTAAACAAACTAGGCTAATGTACCAGAAATAACTTTAATGGGCACCTATTACAGATTGCAAGTGATTTCTTGAAATAGGGTAAGGAAATTTTGTAAGAGTCCCTTAAGTCCCTTATGGGCATTTTGAAATGGGAGCTGAGAATTATGGAAAATGCAAGGCTAAACGTTGCGGTAGATGACATACTGATATCTAGGGATGATATTTATTAATTAACATAGTTTATTAAAATATATGTATTATCTGTCACATTCCAATACTAAATATAATCTTAAAAGAAGGAGGAATCTTATAATCTTAAACTCAGAAAGATATGTGTTTGAATTAAGGAGTTTGTTAGTAAACAAATGTGTTGTTTCTGCATTCGTTTGCTAGCTTAGCCTTGGTCTAAGGGAATAAGAAGATATTTCTTTCAATTACCAGGCATAGGTGAAGCCTTTGCACACACATTAAACTATTCTCTAGTGCACCTACAGCCTTGCCTTTTTTCACACAGCATTTATTAACTTAATTTCTTCAATATTTACTTAGACACTAACATTTAGAACACCTTTAAAATTATACTCTCTGACATATCACTGTCATTCCCATTTAGATCTCTAAAATACTCCTTCCAGTATTCCCTTGTTTAAGTTTCATTCCAAATCATTTTATTAGTTTTACTTTCAATTAATGTGTGTGTGTGTGTGTGTGTGTATCTCAAAACTGCTGTATATTTTCTCTGGATCTTTAATATTAACTGCTAGTTGCTCTCTTTATTACTTTTTGCAGCTGTCTTTTTGCATCTATAGAGATTGTACAATAAACTTTTATACGTTTAATAAATTTATATGGCCACCAATCTCATATACATGACAGCCCTAACAATTAAATTAGAGTAAAATACAATCAAAATTGTAAATAACATAAATATCATAAAACAGCAGTCAGGAGCACTGTCCATTTTGTAGTCATTCTGCTGACAGAGTAATCTTATTTTCTAATATTGTTTCAACTTTCTATTCCTGAATTGGTTTGCTTTCAGGAGCATTCCCCCTCCCCCCCCCCCACATCCATGTTTTTTCAGAACTCACCTTGATATATTTTTTTTAAAAAAGGATACCTATCTGCTCCAAATTCAGAACCACATCATCATAATTCTTGACTAATTCTCTCATTTTTTTCATGATAATCAATCATACTTTGTGGTTTTTACTAGTTATATATTATCTGAAGTGGCAATACATAAATTTGTGTTACATACAAAATAATAAATTCCTTTATCATGTATACCTATAAATAGACTTCAGTTTAAACAACTATTCAAAAGAAACAGATCTTTTTTGATGCTGAAACTCATCAGTCTTCATTCTTGGGTACCTAAATGGTTCTGGGGGATTGCTATGGTCAGCCCTCAGATTATGCAGCCACTTTGCATTGGTCTAATGTATCATCTTTTTAGAATGTTCTTCCACTTCTGTTAAGTTTCTGCTATTGGTGGCTCAGCTGTTATTGTGTTGTTGCACTGCATGGATAGTTCTTTAGAGAAGAAAGATTTATCTTCTTGGTATCTGCATCTCCAGTGTACGTCCTTATCCTGATAGTCAGTGCTATGAGTCTTTGTTTGGCAATCTCTGGTGTTTCAGATGGAATCAGGCCTATGTGTTTTTTCAGTAGCTGAGTCTTATCTTTAATCTTCACTCCCTTCTATAGTTCCATCAGTTAACTAATTTCTCTATTCCGTATTCTTAGCCTCTAACATCATTTTCTGTGGTAGAGTATTCTGCTATTCTTCATGTAGCCAAACATCTCCAGGATGTAGGGTATACCAGTTCATTGGTTTGAGTTATAGTGGTAGTGATAGTAAGGATTGTTATGAGGACTCTACTAGTATTTTCTAGCATACTATCTGATGGTACTTCTCCACTGAATCTTGGGTTTGAGCTATGTTGAGGGTTTACAGTAGCTAGTTTATCCATGATTTTATGCCTCATAAGAACTGTTGTGCTCTGTAATGGTGTGTATGGTAGTGATATTCCAGCGTCATGTGTTGGTTGCACATTCAGGTCTTCTTGAATCTGGGATGTAATGTATAGTTGATCTATTTCAAGTTGTAAGAGTAGCTTGCTCATCACTATATTGATTCATTGGTAACTGTTTCTTAAATTAATGTGGACGTAGTTCTTCTGTCCACCCATAATTCCCTCATACATTTCAGATATCCGCTTTCCTTTGGTACACTGCTTTAGTAACATTCCATCAATTCCAGGTTCTCTTGTCTCATCCATGTATAGTTTGTTCCAATAGCCCATGTATTGTTAGATTTTTCCTGGTTCCCCAACATTTGGTGCCAAACTTGTTAATTTAGATGATGTCCAAAGTGGCATGGCTGTTTTTGCCTCTGTAGCTTTCATATCTGAGATAGGCAGGTCAGGGTGAAATCCAGCAGGTTCTGATAGGTTCTGGAGAACCGGTAGCGGAAATTTTGAGCAGTTTGGAGAACTTACAATGCGTTATTCTTAACGCATTGTAAGCCGCCCTGAGTCTCCGGAGAAGGGCGGCATATAAATCAAATTTAAAAAAAAAAAAACCCGGCAAATACTATCTCTGGCTGGCCCCAGAGTGGGGAGGGAATGGAGATTTTGCAGTATCTTCCCCTGCCACACCCACCAAGCCATGCCCACAGAACCAGTAGTAAAAAAATTTGGATTTCACCACTGAGGCAGGTGAAGACTTAGGGCATCTTTGCCTAAGGACCCCTACTGTTAATATAGGTACTTGCCAGAATTCAAAGCCTGGTCTCCTGCATCAAAGGGCAGCATCTAACCACTACATTATCCAGTCACTCTCCCATTTTAATATCCCATTTGCATTTCATTGAAAATGACTCTTTTCCCCTACACCTTCTGAATTGGACAGCGTACATTTCTTTCCCTTACACATGCATCTTCTGAAGTGGACAACTTATGTTTTTCAGTTTTTTCTGGACCTTCAGGATATTTTCTCCTGCTCTTCTCATTTAAAGAAACATTTGAATTTCCATGTTCTGCATAAGCTAATGCAAATGACTTTATTAAGTGTTCCATGATGCAGTGATAGTCATGCTGATTGAGAATGGGGTGTTGTAGTTCAGTAATTAATAATTACTGGTTAATCAGTTTGTGAAGGTTGGTATGGAAATTCCACATTTGACTATTACTTTTATTTCTTTTTTCTTCCAGGTCCCAAAACAGAATGTTTGACTCTTACTGCCACCGAGGTAATCAAGAGGCAAAGCTCTAAGTCTAAAAAGAGTTTCAATCAGGTACTGATCAATGATGCCACCCGTTGTCCCAATTGCTATGGTTGAGGGAAGCAAAAATGTGTCTCTATGAAACAAACTCATGTATGTTTTTCTTATAGCAAATTGGTATATATCAGTTGAAAGTGGACAAAGTTCAGATCACCGGAGTTAACTGTTCCTTTGCTGTATGCCTAGATCAAGATGAACGGAAAATTCTGCAGAGCGTTACCAGGTGGGTGAGAGTGGACAGCACTGTCTTTGTAGTTTGATGAGGGATAGCTAGATTGGGAGGGTTTTAACCATTCTACAAAGTGAAAAAGATGCCTTTTGGAAGTGCATTAGGTTTTACCATTAAAGTTTTTCTTCACTAGTATCTGGGAATTTTTTTTCTCTCTTTCTGCTATATGCATTACAATGCCTGTTCTTTTTTCCTTCCTTCACCTGAGTAGTGTAAAGGAACTTAGCAAGCTTTTAAGTTTTACATAGAATAACAGAGTTGGAAGGGACCTTGGAGGTCTTCTAGTCCAACTCCCTGCCCAGGCAGGAAACCCTACACCACTTCAGACAAATGGTTATCCAACATCTTCTTAAAAATTTCCAGTGTTGGAGCATTCACAACTTCTGCAGGCAAGTTGTTCCACTTATTAATTGTTCTAACTTCAGGAAATTTCTCCTTAGTTCTAAATTGCTTCTCTCCTTGATTAGTTTCCACCCATTGCTTCTTGTTCTACTGTCAGGTGCTTTGAAGAATAGTTTGACTCCTTCTTTGTGGCAACCCCTGAGATATTGGAACACTGCTATCATGTCTCCCCTATTCCTTCTCTTCATCAAACTAGACATACCCAGTTCCTGCAACTGTTCTTCATACGTTTTAGCCTCCAGTCCCTTAATCATCTTTGTTGCTCTTCTCTGCACTCTTTCTAGAGTCTCAACATCTTTTTTACATTGTGGTGACCAAAACTGAATGCAATATTCCAAGTGTGGCCTTACCAAGGCATTATAAAGTGATATTAACACTTCACGTGATCTTGATTCTATCCCTCTGTTTATGCAGTCCAGAACTATGTTGGCTTTTTTGGCAGCTGCTGCACACTGCTAGCTCATATCTAAATGGTTTTCCACTAGGACTCCAAGATCCCTCTCACAGTTACTACTATTGAGCGAGGTACCACATATACGGTACCTGTGCATTTTGTTTTTCTTCCCTAAATGTAGAACCTTGCTTTTTTCACTGTTGAATTTCACTTTGTTAGATAGCACCCAATGTTCAAGTCTGTCAAGATCCTTCTGTATCTTAAGCCTATCTTCTGGAGTGTTGGCTATTCCTGCCAGCTTGGTTGGATCCAATTTATTTGCAATTCTTATTATTTAAACTTCAGTTATTGAGATTGCTCAGAGTAATATGGTATCCTTTTAGTCTCAGTACATTTGAATGTTGACAGACTGTTGCAGCTCCTATGTAAGGATATGCAGAATTAGGTCTTTTGGATATCCCGCTTGAGCCAGAGAAGACTATATAGTGGTATTAAGTGAGTAACTTCTGACTGGATCTGACTGGAAACTTTATTCAGTGTTGGATTTCTTTATAGAGAATCCTAATATAGGGTTAGTATACTGTAATGGGGAAAAGGAGAATCTCATTTAAAAGTCTTGCTTTGAGAATCTGATCCATCTGGAGTGTGCAGATGATCAGAAGCCATGTGGACAGGTTACAAGCAGGCAATGTACTATTGCTACTTTGCTACTCCAGCTGGTGCCCACTGTTAGGGTTCCAAAGTATCCAAAGTAAAAGATGGCTTCCAGGACTGACACCCACATTGATGTAGTCAATCAACAGTTTCAAGGAAAGTTGCTACATCAGTGTACCATTTATCAAAGGATAATCAGTCTCTATTGTTCAATATTCTCTTGTTAGAGACATTCAGATATTTGAATTTCCACAGTATTGGAAATAATTTCATGTCTGGCTGAATTACATTAGAGTGACTTTGGTGTCTTCTTGTTTTCATAGATGCGAAATCTCTGCATGCTACAAACCCAAGACCAATGAGCCCTGCACCAGGGGAAATCCCACTTCATTACTTCCTCCCCAAGATTCCTCTGATTTCTGCTCTCTTCTGTGTTTGCCAATTACTACTTTTAGTGGAGCACTTCCCTAAGAATACAGAAAGAATGGACTGGGTAACTTGACTCAAATGCTGACTGAAATTGCTGCCAAACTGGGACCAGCTACCAAAAATTGGCCAAAAAAAGAAAATCCTCCTTGCAGTCCTAGAAGGAAGCATCCCAAGCTTAGCAAGTGAATATGAAGTGAAAAGCCATATCTTAAGAGGTGGAATATTACTTCTTTGACTGTTGTTGAGTGTTGCTGAAATACTGTATTTGTGGCACCTGGAATAAAAGTCAAAAAAGCACATCTGAAATGCAGGGAAAGGATAAGAAGACTGGCCAATCTATCTGAAATTTCTTCACATGAGATGAAGAAATTGCAGTCTTTTCCTTTCCTTTTTCACAGGGCATCCAAGGATATATCTATGATGGGAACAGGTACTTGACCTACGAGCCAGTTTAAACCAGCCAAGACAATGGTTGAAGAAGTTCAGAGACAAGTTGGTAGACTTTGTTGCCATTCACAAATTGCTTTGGCATCTTTGAATTCTATTATTTGAGCTGCCTCCTGGAGATATGGGCAAGGAGAACAAGGGAGCAGAAAAGAAAAGGCTGTTTCATTTGATTATATATTTCTTTCTGTGCCAATGATATATCTGCAAGCATTGAATGAAATGAAAGAGCAAATTTGACAAGGGAAAACATTGAGCAAAATAAGCTAGTAGGCTAGCATGATTTCATGACATATGGAATGCTTTCCCATTTCAAAGGGTCTGGAAAAGATATTATTGTTTATTTATTGACAAGTATCCCAATTCTTCGGAAACATTGCTAGAAAAATATGTTTTAAATATCTTCTATGTGGAGCTGGGCAGTTTTGGCGATTGGGGGCTTTGTCTAACTGAGAGACACAAGATTTATACCTAATGAATACTTGCATTGGCATGAATTGTCCCTAGCAGCCCCAGCACTTTACCGAGTGAAAAATATAAACCTCAAAAAGATTCAACATCCTTAGATTTGCAGCGGAAAGATGTAACTTGAGCCAGGACTGTTCTAAACCCAATGTTTCTGAAATGTTTCTACCTGTTTTTAGAATCCTTGATCAAATCCAATATACTGTAATATCTTTGACCAACTCCAAACTTAGCAACTCCATTGAGTTTTGTCTAAAACCCAACACTGTCAAAAGGTCTTAGGGTTGGAAGGTCATAGTTATTTAAATGGTCATAACCATCACTAATGTGCAATCTATGGTACTGTATTCTTGGGCAGGGGAATGTGTCTGCGTATCGGAATATTCAGGGTATACTTCTAGAGCAACGGTTGTCAATTGGTGCATGCAGGATTTCTTGAAATGATACCCAAAGACAACCTAACAGAAAACCACTATGACAACTATATTTTTCTATCCAGTCAAAAAAAAAAGACTTTATTGAGTTTATAGAACAACTAACCATAAGCTTGGAGTCTATTGGAGTTAGATTGCCTATAAATTATAAATAAAAAACAAACAAACATGCAACTAAGAAATGTAAGAATAATTGAGATCCCTTTTTATCATCTGCTTATTTAGAGTAAATAATTTTAAAATTTATCAGCAATAAGATGCACTATACATTTCCTTGGCCTGAGGAAGGAAACCACACCCACTTTTTCAAAGAGGTGAAGCTTAATATAAAAGACATTTGGAATGGTGTTCAGAAAGAAAAAGTAAAACTGAAGAATTGTAAAGAACATTTTAAAAGCTCATCTACTTTTTCTACTGCAGTGACTTAGTTTAAAATACACAGTGTCTGGTTAGTATGAACATTACTTCTGAAAACATTTCCTCCAAGAATAAAGAAAATCTGAAAAATCATATTCATTTAAGCACAATTCCTAGAATGAGATGCAATGCAATTTCTTCAAAACATCAATATCAGCTTCAGCTGTAAGGAAATACATTGGTGAAAAATTGGGAAGGGAAATTATAATTTCAATTTCTCTTCTGGATAGCAATCAATAGATAGCACACAAACTACTGAATGCCATAATGTGCTGATTTAACAGCTTGGTGGTTTGTATGGCTTTTTAATCTTTTAGTTTTGTTCCTTGAGTAATATTCCTCTGGTTCATTTTTTAAAATCTTATTTTCCCAGGACCATCTCAGTGCACCTGACATAAATAGCCAGTTAAACAGTCAGCAATCTGCCAAATAGCACACAGCACTTTGGTTTTCGGCAACTGCAAAGGAATTAAATATTTCTTTAACCAATGCAAAACGGTTCAATTAAAATCAAGTACGTGTATGTGTGCAGAGCTTTTTCTTAATAAAGATAAGAATTGCCCTATGGAATGAATCTGTACATAAATATTCTGTAAATTTTTGTGATCTTGTTTTATAAAAAATATATTTTAATTATGGCTGTAAAATTATTTGTCTAATAAAGGACATTTTCCTAATTCATGACTCCGTATATTTTCTTAAACAAAGTTATGGGGTATTTTGTATGAAACTTCACTTGGATATGCAACACTCATGAACAGTTTGACACTGAATTGAATAAATCATTAGGTTACTTTTTAGTTCAGAGTTCTGTTAAAATAAAGTTCATATCTATGGAAATAGGTGGCATAAAACAGTCTCTAATGTAAGTTCCAGGAAAACCTTTCTTGTCATTAGAAAATTATTGTTATGACCTTCCTTGCTAGTTAATAGATGTGCTAAAATATCTCTCCATATATTTTAAACAAATATTCATGTTGAGATTCTTGCAAAAGTGTATTTTATTTATTTAATGTTGATTGATTATATAATGTGAATTTAGTTGCGATATATAAAAGAAATGTATAAGTTATTTATCATCCAAAAGGTCTAGGTGAATAGTATTATCTTATATATAGATGTTATCTTGCCCTATCTTACAATTCTCAGTGGCCAATGCATGATTTTTAAAAATCCCACAGAATTTTTTTTTCAAAAACCAAAATCATTGAAATAGTTTCCAAAATTACTATGGGTATTCAAATATTTAGTCAAATAAGGCAACTTTGTATATCTTGGTTCCAGTGAGATCTTTGGAACAATCAAGTTCAATAATCTACAACAGGCAGAATCGAGGCAGGAATCAAAATAGATCTGAATCTGTATCACTGAAAGTGAAACCCATGCTCTAAAATTAAGAAGATTGTGTTGGTTCTTGGCAAGGTCCCTATTCTGCACAAAGAGCATTTCCAAGTTGTCAGACACAGCTGACTCTGGAGCCTGATTGATTTTAGGCAGATGGATGTTGAGATTCAAAAGCCTGGAACAGTTTGAGCCCTTCTATATCTTCACATATCTGTGATTTTCCTTCCTGACCCTTTTGATGAGAACTGTGTAAGGCAAAGAGTTCGAATTTTATTTCCCGATGTTGGGGAAACATCACACAGAATGTTTTCCAAGATCCATGCATAGTGTTGACCTATAGGATCTGCCAATTATACACACTAACCTGGTGATTTCCATCTGCCAGATGTATGGTTTTTAAGGGGAGGTGGGCAAATGTATACACAGATAACAATGATATGATGCAGGCATATTGCAGGACAAAATAGCAATAGCACTTAGACTTATATACCACTTTACAGTGCTTTACAGCCCTCTCTAAGCGGTTTTACAGAATCAGCATATTGCCCCCAACAATTTGGGTCTTCATTTTACCCACCTCGGAAGGATGGAAGGCTGAGTCAACCTTGAGCCTGGTGAGATTCTGCCAAATTGCAACCAGCCAGCAGTCAGTAGAAGTAGCCTGCAATACTGTACTCTAACCACTGCGCCACCATGACTCTTAACTGAGGGGTGTGGTGGGGGAGATCATAATGAAAAATCAGCTTGATAATCATATTCTTTGTCAATAAACCATGTTAATTTCTTGGATGGCTCATCAAATCATGAGCAAAACTCTGACCATTTTTAAAATTATTATATGGCACTCTTAACACTTTTTTAAAAATTTCTATACTTAAAAAACACTATGGAAAAATTATTACTGTTTAAAAGAAGTATAGCATCCTGATAGGCAGTTTATATTCAGCTCAGCTCTTGTTTTTCCTGTCACTGGGCCAACACTGCAAACTACTTCTTCCTCTTTCCTTTAAGGAAATGATTTCAAATTACTTATTTAATCATTCAGTCCTCTCTCCTTGTATTCAACAATATCAGATAAAGGAGAGAGGGTTGTTGTTAAAATTCAGCATCCTCTTCCTTGCATCTTTTGTTATGGATAATCTTCTATAATGATGAGATTTTCATCTGCTAGCTGCTAGCATGTATTCATTTTTCCCCCCAGACATTCTCTTGAGCATTTGTAAACTAAGATTTATCAGAAAGACAAGTGCAATATTAGCAACAACAGAAATCCCAATTTATTACAAAGGGGGATATCTGCTGCTTACAATTCTAATAAGCATAATAAAGCTGGAAGTTTTCTACACACAGTATAAAAAAAATTCCCATTCAAACTCTAGCTCCAAAAACTAAGGGGCCCAACCTGTGATGAATTGTATGGCTCCAAGACTTAAAGAGCAAAAAAATTAGCACTTTATCAGGTATAAAACACAGATTTTATATTTCCCTTGTTAGTGGGCTAGTGGGTGACATTATCTGCATTTTTAATCATCCACCATACATTTGAGGACTAAAAACTAACAAAAATACAAATCTAAGAAAAGAAGTCTAAGCTGTTAGGACCCTGCGTACAAGCTTGTGTGATACAAGACTTATTGACAGATTAGTTTTTTCCACTGGTAGTCATTTTGTACTGAAGCCATAGAAGTGATGAAAGATTCTCAGAAGGCATGCTAGTGAACATTAAAGCAGACACAATAAAGCCATGGTTCCATAGAAGCTGCTGTATTATGATTCTTGGCCTCTGTAGTCCACCCATCTGGGATGTTATCCTGCACATGGATCTAGGAAAAACAGCCTAAGGATAGTAACTTGAAGACACAGAAAAGTATTTAATTGGAGTGTGTCATGAATGAAAGTGTGTATACCTGATTGCAAAAATCATAAGATGCTCTTTCAAACAAAGTCCTCTTCTTTGTTTTTGTTTTTTAATAATTTTTTATTATTACACAATATGACAATCACATAACATACAACATATAAATATCTCCTCTCTTTTAAACAGTGTTTCTTCGTGGTCTTCCTTCCGTTTTATATTTTTCCTCCCATCCAGTGGTGGGATTCAGCCAGTTCGCACCACTTTGGGAGAACCGGTTGTTAACTTTCTGAGCAGTTTGGCAAACTGGTTGTTGGAAGAAATCATTAGGGCAGAGAACCAGTTGTTAAATTACCTGAATCCCACCACTGCTCCCATCTCTCTACTATTTCATTTTTTTTCCCATTGTCCTTTTTCCTTTGGTTACATTGTATTTTCCAACACTGATAATCTTAATATTATACATTTCTATACACTTATTAAAAACATATTTTATACTTTTAATTATAAGCTTAATTTTATACATTTCGATTTATTTGTTATATACATATTTTATACTTTTAACTTCTTCCCTGTAGTTATTGTTCTTTATTTCTGGACTCAAGCCATTCATACCATTTGTTCCAAATTATTATTATCTGTCTCTTCTTTTTCTTTAATTTTTGTTAATTTGTCCATTTTGGCACATTCTAAAACATTTTTTATCACTTCTTCATCTGTGGGAGTCTTTTCCTGTTTCCAATTTTGTGCATCTATGATTCGTGCTGCCATTATAATATGTAGAATCAGATATTTTATTTCTTTGGTATATGTTCTCGTAAATATTCCTAACAAAAAAGTCCTCTTCTTTGTGTAGGCAGAAACCCTTTTAAAAATCTAACCAAATTATCTCCATGATATTTGTTTAGCAGATCTGATCAGATAAAGCGATCTAGCCTCATGCCACTGAAAGCATCCTCTTGAAAGGCTTCCTGCTCTGTGTCTGCAGGAAAGCACCTCTTGTAAACATCGGAACTTACTGTGATGTATACATTGTAGGAGGTCAGCCCCCTTAGTTTATAGTGGCAAAAAAATCAAGAAGAATTCCGGTAACCCTCTTTTTGACTAACACCTTTTATTAAAAGTTCTAAGATCATCTTTCTGCAGAAGAGTGCTGTACCTGAAACACCGCTGAATCAGATTAATGGTGGGTGAGATTTTGGAGAAAACATCTCATCTGGAGTGAATCTGGACATTGGAAAGAACCGATACAAAGCTTCACTTGGACCCAAGCCTGGAGTAGAGTGAGCCTTCATGGAGCAAAACAACAGTTGTGCCCACAAATCCTGGAACATGTGACTGGCTTTCTGCACTCAATGCCTGCTGGGCAGCTGGAGTTTGACAGCTGGAACAGCTTCACTGAGCGCGCCAGAGGTTAGTGTGGAGACTTACAGAAAGCCTATTCAGTGAATTCTTGTTTGGTCTTTAACAAATATCCCCATTCTTCCTTAGAGCAGCTCATGTTATGTAATTCCTCTCATTTATCCTCATAACAACATTATGAAGGCTGAGACCTTTTAATTTATTCCACAGCAGAGTTGGGGCGATGTCTCGGCTTAATCACTGTACCAGTCTTGCCCACCCTGGGAAGGGCGTGATTGGAGTTGGAAGTTCCCAGCGTACTACATCCAGCAGAATGGGCATGTGCAGATCCTGTCTTAAGCAGCGGCATCTGGAGAGTTGCAATTGCAAGATGGGTGGCTATATTTATTGACTTTAAGTATGAATTATTTAAATCAAAGTCCAAGACCCTTGGAGTGCAATAAGTGAAATACTGTATTACATCTCTTATGTATTCATATTATATATGTTACAAGCAGCCTTCCTAAACTGATGGATTTCAACTCCCACCATTCTGAGTCAATTAACTGAGGAATTTTGGACTTAATTACAAGAGGGATCACAGTGAGGATCCTCCCTGCAAGTAGTCTTTGACTTACAACAGTTCGTTTAGTGACTGTCCAAAGTTACAACGGCACTGAAAAAAAGTGACTTATGACCATTTTTCACACTTACGACCATTACAGGATCTCCATGGTCCTGTGAACAAATTTGAGACGCTTGGCAGCTGACTCATATTTATGACAGTTGCAATTTCTCCCAGGGAAATGCAATCCCCTTTTGCGACCTTCTGACAAGCTAAGTCAAGGGGGATGACAGATTCACTTAACTAAGTGTAATTAAGTTAACAACTGCACTGATTCACTTAACAGCTGTGGCAAGAAAGGTCGTAAAATGGGGCAAAACTCATTTTAACAACTGTCTCACTTAGCAACAGAAATTTGGGGCTCAATTGTGGTCATAAATCGAGGACTACCTGCACTGACTTTAATATGAATTGGGTCTTCTACCCACTGAACTTTTGGAGAGGAAGGTTCTGCCCTCCAAAAAACAGGCAAAGAATGACCCTGGAAAGAGGAGGGAGAGTAAAGGCAAGGCGTGCCCAGAGGCTTTTTACTTGTGGAAAGGCGAAGCGACCGAGAGGCTAGCAAATGTTGCCGGGCACCAGAGGAGAGGACAAACACCTGCCTGACCTCTTGCAAGCTCACGTGGACCGAGCTGTCTTCGTGATCGTGGACGAAAACACCTCTCGGTGGAGCCAGCGAGGCACCGTCCTAGCCTTCCGGAGGTTTCTCCGGTAACTCCCGTTTGGCTTCTTCTGCCCCGGGTGGCGTCGGGATTCCGTCAACTCCCGCGGCCGCCCAGTTGAGCTCAGCGATTCCTCGGCGCCGAAAAAAAAAAAAAGACAGACAGGCGGGCGGGCGGGCAGACGGGCGGCGGAGTGGCAAAGCCGGGGCCGAGCGAAGCAACAACCTTCGGACAGGAAAGGAAGTGCGTCTTGTCCTCTGGCAGGGCGAGAAGATCTTTCTCCGGGCTTCGACTGAGCCGCCCTCGGGCAGGAGAGGTAAGCGGCCGCCCGCAGACAAACTTCGAGGGAGCGAGCGAGCCCCGCCAAGCACTTCCTGAGCAGCCGAGCCAAACCGAGACGGCGCGCGCCAACAGGCAGGCCGGCCGGCGCGCGGATGAAGACGGGACCTTAAGCCAACCCACCCCCCACCCCCCGATGGCTCCCGTTCTCGAAGGGTCCTACGGGAGCTCAGGGAAGCCTTCGACACTAACCCCGGCTTTCTCGCCCTAAAGGTACGGCCGCGCCGAACGACTGGTCTCCCTCAGCCCGCTTTTTCTCGCGCGTCCCGGGATCCCGCCGCTTAGCCCCCTTCCTCAGGTTGGACGGGAGAGAAAAGGACGAGGCGGAGAAGGCGGACTGTTTAATGCCCCTTGGGCGAGGAGGTGCAGCGACGGCGCAGAGGAGGCCAGTTTTGGCGGCTCCTCGTTGGGTGAAGGGTCCTGAGGAACGCCAATTCTGCTTTTACAATTCTGGATTCTCCCAGAGAATCCCGGTTAAGAGAAAGCTTTTGAGCGGCTTAAGGACGGGGTCTCTCCAAAAATCTCTCTGGCTCTCCGATCGTTTGGGGTGGGGTGGGTGAGGGGTGTTTTGGCGCAGATCTGGAGCGGGAAAGTTTTTTGTGTGGTGCGAGGGACAAAGTTGCAATCTTTGGGAAGGAGGTGGGTTGAGGGAGGAAAAGAGGAGCCGCTCTCTCGCTCTCTCTCTGCCGGATATCGATGCTTCCGTCTCCTAAGCGACAACATGAGCCAGTGTCCCGTGCAGGGAAAATTGTCCCTCCGGCAACGGGGCAAGGCGGGAAGGGAAAAAATGCAACGCGGCAGACTCGAGCCCAGTAAACAAGGGCCATCTGGACTGGAAGGGCCCGAGCGCTGGCTGGCCGGGGCTCAGCGACAGGTGCTTCCCAAAAAGACTCGGGGTTGATCCCTGCAAAGTGGAGCCAGCGGTGCTCCCCTCCGCTACCCGCCTGGCAGGAGCGGGTTAATTCTGACTTGCGTGTTCAAATTCCTGGCAGAAACACTTCGCCCTTGTTTCCCGATTACCCTCCACCCTGGGACAGGAAAAACTGGAACAGAGGTGCGAGGATGGCTGCGATTGCTTTTGGGAGGCGGCTTGTCGGTTGTTTTGCGCAATTGCTAGCTTGTGTTACAGGGCCTTGTGCCCCTCAGAGCATTTCGCTGGATGGGTGCCCTCCTGCAGCCGGGGCCACAAAGCAGCTCCTCCTCCTTTCATTTTAATGCTATTAATATAGCCCAAAGAGCCTCCTCAAAGAAACATTTAATTGACCAAACATTGATTCTTCCTGGCTTAAATGGGTGAATTGGAACTAATGGAAACGTTTATGTTGGAGGTGGCACCACAACTCTGTTTGTGATGTCTGAAATGCGCCCAGTTTGCTTGTTGATGTTTTCATGCACAAAGACCAGAAATTGCTTCATTTAGCTTACTGGCTGGTACTCATCAAAATTTTACACAATTTTCTTTCTCCCTACTTAGAAATGCCCAAGGGGTTGAATTTGGAACTTCTGCATGAAAAATCTGTGATCTATCAGCCTTTGATGTTTCTGCCACTAAAATGATTAATATTCATGTGAGCAGCAATGCAATGAGTCTCTTAGAAGTTGTGGGAATTTCTTTCCCATCTAATTTCAGACTCTTTGAAGATTTCACCAAAAGTGTTGGTCCCCAAATCCTTATCCATCAGCTGGAGGAATGGCAGGAGTATAAGATGATGGTGGGCAAATGTGGCTTCAATTGATCTCTAGAGCTTGAAATTGCATGGATATGCTTTACATTTCTGTTAAGTTTGTATTCATTCTTGTGGTTTTTGTGATCTTGATGGATCAGTTGCTTTGAGTGCTAGCCACACAGAGTGACAAGTGCTTTCATACTCCAGTTAGGTGCAAAAAATACGTTTAACCAGGTCACATAGCAAATTTGTACAGCTTAATAATAGTTCATTTGTTAGCAACTTGTTAGCAACCCAGCCCCTTTCATTAGTTTATTACTCAGTGAATTGAGCAAGTCCTGAATCAGAACTTGGGAGGAATGAGTGAGACCTTGTCTCCATTGCTGCCCCAACCAATGTTGGACATGACCACTTCTGTGTAAAGTTTTGGAGGCAGAACTACTTTTACAGATGTTTGGATGTGCTATTTCATTTTATGAACAGATTCAGCAATATGTTGGATGATTTCCTTCTGTATTATCTCTTCTGTTGATATTCTGAAAATGACACTGGAAATAACATCAGAGATGCTAAATGCTTTCTGGAAGTCCTCACCCCCATCTAATTAAATGTGATGAGTTGGAGAAATTCTCCAAAGGATCTTTTATGTTTAGGAACTGATGTGCATATCCTTCTGGCTAAAGCTATAATTCACAAAACACCTGATATATGGGGAAAACTCGTATCTTTTAAAAGCACCAACTCTATGAGAATCAATCTATTTTGCATTATATATGAAATCATAATCTCTTTTGCCAGCTTTCAACCACTTCTTGGAATCATTACCACATTCTTTTACAAGTCACTACGTGTTTACTTAGGAATAAGTCCCATTGAAACTAGTAGGCTTTCCCTATGATAAAATATGCATGGAATTCCACTCCCAGTTTCTGGTTGCTGACAGCAATTTACCTGCTCTTTTTCTGCTCTGCGATATGCTACTTTTCTCCTTGGATGCATCATTTTACTACAGAAAGTAAAAAAGACATTGGTTGCAGCCTAAGACTAAAATAGGCCACTTAACCACTGAACTTAAAGTATAATTTCTGAGCCATGCCCAACTGACATATTTTGTTGCATTTGTTTCTAAGGTTATCATATTGACCTTTACAGAAGGGGTATAATTTCTGAATTCTTCAAGATTATCTATAGTCCCGAAAGCATTACACAAATATTGTTGAGTTAAAACAAATGAGGTCTTTAAATGCATTTACTTAATTTAAATTAATGTTGAAGCTTAAATAATGTGCTGTCCCTACCCACTTCTGTCTCCAGCCACTCTTCTGCAGTATGCCCTCCACATGCCAGTAAAAGATTAAATTAGCCCCTGTCCCAAATGCTTGTATCTGAGCTTTACAACAGTACATATAGTACCGCCTTTCAACTGAGGCCCTGTCTCTTCCTGGGTTTCCCCAAGCTAAATCCCAATATAGCAATAGACTTTGCAAGTTTTTCCAGCCTCATTAAAAGGAAAGGGAAGACCCAAGCTAAAATTAGAATTGTATAGAAAATGCATTTCTCTGCAGTTCAGTATTGTATTGATGTCCTAATAAGCCTCTGATTTGCAGATGTAATTTCTTCAGTTTCACTTTGACATATTAAGCTACCTTTAACAAAAAAGGCTGTTGTTACATGTAAAAGTTGGGGCTTATAGTTTCTGGAAGCAAGGATAGATGGTTGAGGCCAAACTAAGCCAAGCTTCTAGATTTTGATATTGATATATGGAGGAATGGGGTGGTTTTCCTAGTGGTTAGAATGAATGTATAGAATAAGGTAAAGTTAGCTCTCGATTGAAAATATGCTCAGAAATCTAAGCAGTTGTTACAGAAAGTGTATGCTTTTGTAAAAGTTGCTTTTTAAAAATCTAAAACTTTCTGCTTTTTCTCCTGCTTTATCACTGTAAAAGATTTTGGAATTTGCAAGGTTGTTACTTATGTTAGTCTATGCAACAAAAATCACAAGAAGCTTTATGGCACATGTAAGAATTAGCAGATATATTAGCCCATAAACTTTTCCTACATAAAAGGAACAGTTTTCAATGAGCCCATTGAAACCTGCTCTGTAAAATGAATTTTCCTACCTTATCAAATATTTTGAAATCTAATAGCATCTATTCTCTGAACAGATACAGTACAGTATTCAAAAGTCAAGACTCCTCGAATCTAGCTTGATTCTTGGTGACTACATAAACATTTTCACATAGTTAGCAAATGATGCAGGATCCACAGACCATTACAGCAATAAAATAAATTTAGTAAAAAATGTAAATCGCTTCACTATTCATCTATTCAATTTCATTAAACTTTAATTAGTTCCATAGCTTTTGTAGGTTTTAGTTTTCTGGAATGTTTTTATAGTTTTTATCTTACCATATTTTAATTCTAGTCATTGCCCTCTAATTTGCTAATTTCCTAACCTCTACATTTATGGTGGTCGAGGACAGTACACTGCAAAGTAAAGAAACAGTTCCTCAAATCCATTTTATTTCAGTGTGTTGAGTGGGATTCTACTTCTAACTGGATAGACTCGTGTTCCCATTTATGCTAGAGCTGAGTTGGAAGTGAGGTAATCCTTTTTCTTTTTTCTTAAATCTTAGTGACAATACACTAAACAACTATCTGAATGAAATTCTGGACCTAAAACCCATGAAGAAACATAAATGTGCCCTCCCCAAAACAGGGATTATCAGAATGAGGTAGGCCAGTATGACATCTTCAGAAAGATAACTCAGACAAGTGCTGATCTTTTAACAAAGCTATAGATAGAAAGAACTGGGTGCAGAAACAGCATATATTTTTAAAGTTTTGATATATAATCAGCACAAATCAAATTTCTAATTGCAGTAGGATATGATTCTGTGACAATATACAGACATGATGGTGAACCTGTGGTACGCGTGCCAGAGGTAGCACACAGAGCCCTCTCTGCTGGCACGCACGCTGTCACCCCAGGTCAGATCTCTGTGGTGTTTGTTTTGTGAGCTTCTGTTTCCCTGCAAACGACGAAACAGAAGCTCACGAAAGAAAAAAATCTTACCTCTGCTGGTGTTAGAATGCCCCACCTCCCACCGGCCAAGCTGGTCTTTGGGTCTCTGCGTGCATGTGCGCATATCTGCACATGCATACATTCACACACACACGCACCTTTCAGTTTGGGCATGCGCATCTGCACAGTTTGGGCACTCAGTGTCTAAAAGTTTCGCCATCACTGATATACAGCTTGTCCTGCCTGACCTGTCACAGATCTTAAAGAAAGAGGATGTGAGCATTGTCTTATACAGGTAGTCCTCGACTTACAACTGTTCATTTAGTGACTGTTCGAAGTTACAACATCACTGAAAAAAAGTGACTTATGACTGTTTTTCAGTTATGACCTTTCCAGCATCCCCATGATCATGTGATCAAAATTCGGCCACTTGGCAACTGGTTCATATTTATGACCGTTGCAGTGTCCAGGTGTCATGTGATCACCTTTTGCAACCTTCTGATGATCAAAATCAATGGGGAA